TTAGACAGCCATATGCCATACATTTTTGCATACATTCACAGTAAATATTTATTCAGTATGATAGCTGTCTAACAGAAGTTAAATTAATTTCTCACTTATTCTGACAATGTACTTAACCTCAAATAAAATAACCCAATAAAAAGAGTTGTTAAATAATAGTGAAGTCACATTGTAATAACAATAACTCATCTCTCACTCGTTTTATTTTTGAGCTTTGCTAAAAGCCACCTAGTCAAGTGTCCATCTTGGGTTGCCGTCTGGAGTTGTCCAATATGGCGGACCATCTCGCACATGCGCAGTACCGATCGGGCAGGGGGACGGATCGGGTAGTGACACACACCACAAACCCACTGAACAGATTACCCAAGATCCTCAGCTTGAAGCTCGTTGATTGGATGTTTTAGCCGCAATGCATGTTGGGATATGATGTTAATGCGATATGATATCCGAAAACATTTAAAAAAAATAAAATAAATACTTTATTCCGAGTGTTCTTGCTTTTCTCTTTGAAAGTCATCACATAACGGCATTGTAATACACGGTCCGGCTGCATTAAAGAGCCTGTGACAGCCTCCCAACAACTGTTGTGCAATGAAATATTGGGCTACTAGTAATCTCGAACCATCATTTTAAAAAAGAAGGTGCGATACCGTTCCGATAAATATCAATAATTTCGAACATCGCGGGGAAATTCTTTCGACTCATTTTGAAGTTTTGGGGGAAGCCGGAAGTGACGTCAATGCGGGAACGCTTCACTGTGCGGCGAGAGAGCCAAACAAGGACAAAGTGTGTTGTCATGCGTAGAAATTGTGAATTACTGACTTTCGGCACGTTAATAACGTTTTAATGAAGTTGACAACATTATATTCATATTTGTCAGTGCTTTCATGTGAATTCGGCGAACATGAACATAAATGATCGTGGTAAAGATGATGATTAAATTAGGATTAAAAATCAGTAGTGAGAGCTGCTGAATTTCCTCTCGTCGGCTGTGATATAAAAACAAATCGATTATTTTTGTAATTGTAAACTCAAGTGGATGAAACTACATTTATTAGTGCTTTCATGTCAATTCGGTGAACATATGATACATTAAATGATCGTGAGGAAGATGATTTAAAAATCGTTTGTTTGAGCCGGTCTGCATTTCCTGATGAGAAAACAAACCGATGCTTTTTGTAGTTGTAGTACACCAACATGGATTAAACGTGTGTTTTTTTTTACCACAATGTTGGGGAAATTAATGGATAAAATGCACAGATTATTATTATTATTTCCACTCCGATCGGGACACTAGGTCCACCGTTTCCCCGCAGCGAGGCTCCCCCTGTTGACAGTTTACGTGGGCTGGGCTGGGTGCAGTGGCGGACTGGCCATCGTGAAGAGCTACGTGAAGAGCAGGGTAGACCAACTGGAAAAGTAGCATTATTCAAAAGCTTTCTGATGCGGGTCTTGAAACAAAGCAGAGAAATGATGACCGTTGTTGGCGACAGGTGCGAAAGCTCTCTCCAGAGCTACTGGAAGCCCAATCTTGGGGACCGGAGAAAGTGGAGCAATATTCTCGCCACGCCAAGCAACAGCCGAGTACAACCTCAACCTATACAAGTAACCTCTACTGATGCTGGACAGTTTTTCAGTGGGTGTACAATAAACGGCAACATACACATTAATGTAGGCCTAAATAAATAGCTAAATAATCGATTAACGCTCTCTGTCTAATATGTTCGCTAGCTGTTAGTGTTGTTGCATAGCAACCATCTCGCACCTCGTTTTGTGCAGAAGGCAACGAGGGACTATTTTTATTTTGAACATCATTATTTACTAATAAAAACTATTTAAATTAGAGTGTCTATTTTCTTTCATATTGCCACACTTGGTAACCGTTTTATAAAAGCAATATACCACGGCCTGTCCTCGGGCCGAACCACGCCCCTTAACTGTGATATAATGACCACGGCCTGTCGTGAGCTATTGCTTAATTATACTGTCTGTATAGATAGAGTAGGCGATATCACATACAGTATGCCGTTGTATGTGCTCTGCACATTTAATCCATTTTACAGTTGGAGATGCTCCTGTTTTTAGCTCAGCCTAAATTCAATGTTCTTTTTATTTTTGTTATAATTTGTGTACCTAATAAACTGCTGCTAAAGGTGAATCTTATTTCATACATATAAGAAGGTGGCTGGTGTTTTATATTATTCTAATTGTCAACAAATCCAATGAAAAGGCCACAGCTAACTAACCTATTTATTTATATGATATATAGGCTAACATATAAAACGCTCTGACACTCCTCCAGAGTCTGTGGCTGGCAGGCCTTCAGTTTCTCCTAAATACATACACTCCATCTTCAGCTCTCAGATGTAAAGTTTATTATTTAAAATAAGATTCAGTATCTGCTCAGCGGGTCTCAAGCTGGAAGAAATAGCACATATGTTGGGGACTATTTTCAGTAGTGGATTGACTGATATTTCGGGGCCAGTGTATGTGGGACGGAAAACAAACGACAGTGTGTTTGTTCATGGAAAAGAAGACACTTGTCCCATCAATAAAATAAAGAATATAACCAGCCCTGCCATAGTTTATATACCTAAATAAACTAAATGTAGAAGATCGAAATTCCAATATTCCACATTTCTTGAACCCTCTAGTCATCTGGTTGAAATGTTCCCCACCACAGAGCTCTTACATGTAATAAAATAGATGCTTTGCTAACAACTGCATCAGCACTACTGGAAATGCACATTCTCTATAAATAAAGTGATAGACTGACTGTGTTTTCAGCTCTCAGCTGCTGCTCACTGCTTCAGAGCGCACCATGTGGTGGAGTGTGAGAGCAGCTGTACCTTGTCGGTGTCCGTCTCGTGGATCAGGTGTTTGGCCTCATTGTCTGCGTGGTCCACCTCTCCGGGCAGAACCCAGTGCGCCACCTCAGCATTATCCAGGTACCCATCCTGCAGACACACAGGCGCTTACTGAGGAGCTTCTGAAGAGCCTCTGTGACGGCTATTACGTGTTCAAATGTCCTATTGCGTTGGCCATTATTACACAGGAAGGTGTAACAGGGATCGAAGATATGAGGTTTATTGCGTTAGTTGTACACAGGGGCGCCGTAAGGGGGTGAAAAGTTAGGATGATTCTAAGGGCCCGTGACTGACAGGGGCCCAAACTATTTTAGAACATAAAAAAAAATGTTTAAGTAACCAATGTGATATCTTTTCATGGGGCCCGCAATCCCTGGCGGCGCCCCTGGTTGTACACTACCAGTTGCCAGTGTTGATGGGTTATTGCTGAGTGGGTAGTTATGCTAAGAACCGTGTCCGGTAACCTACAACCCTTATACACACTTTTTTCAGCTAATCTCCTTCACCAAGTGTTCAAATAATATTACATAATACATCCAAACAAAATAACATACACTCCCCATCCCAAAAAAAAAGTCACCAACTGGATTTCTTTCTTTCTCTTTTTCTCTCTCTTTTTCTCTTTTTCTCTCTCTTTTTCTCTTTTTCTCTCTCTCTCTCTCTCTCTCTCTCTCTCTCTCTCTCTCTCTCTCTCTCTCTCTCTCTCTCTCTCTCTCTCTCTCTCTCTCTCTCTCTCTCTCTCAATTCAAAGGGGCTTTATTGGCATGAAAGTTAAATTAAACAATGTTGCCAAAGCATCACAATACAAAATAATTAACAACATTAACATACATTTCAAATGTTTACATATTATTACTGTCTCTCTCTCTCTCTGTGTCTCTCTGTCTGTCTGTCTGTCTGTCTGTCTGTCTGTCTGTCTGTCTGTCTGTCTGTCTGTCTGTCTGTCTGTCTGTCTGTCTGTCTGTCTGTCTGTCTGTCTGTCTGCATCCGACCGTTCGTCCATGTTACCTTGTTTGCGTCTCTGAACTCATGGAAGTGTTTCCTCTCGGTCTGCACCCAGTCGGGCTCCCTCTCCCCGCTCTCTGGAGAGAACATGTCCCCTGTGGAGCAGCACACACACATTCAGAACAGGTGGCTGATGGGAAAGGAGGGAACCGTACCGACAGTGGTGTCATTTAACTAAGTGATTACTCAAGTACTGTACTTCAGTAAAAAAATGAAATACTTGTACTTAACTTCAGTATTTCACATTATGCTTCTTTATACTTTTACTTTTACTCATCTTTATTTAGTTACTTTGCAGATTTAGGTTATTATTACAAAAAAATTAAAATTGACACACATGATTATATGCATAATATTATTATGGGTTAAGCTATCCAGTAGTGTATAAAGTAATACAATAAACCCTATATTTAAGAAGTAATGAACACATTAACGCACCCATCATTTTATAAAATGATAGAAATATAGCTGGCGCTTAAAAAAGCCATTTTGCTTAACGAGGACTTTTACTTTTGGTACTTAAAGTATTTTTTAATGCTCATACTTTTTAACTTTGACTTAAGGACAATTTGAATGCCATTATGTAACTGAGTATTTTTACACAGTAGTATTTCTACTTTTACTTCAGTAAAACAATCTGAGTAGTTCTTCCGCCTCTGCTTACCAATGTATTCATTTATGTCGATCTTTCCATCTCCGTTCTTATCAATGTCCTCCACTGTTTCCTGAAAGAGAACATGAGTTAGTCTTACAGTGCAATACATGAAACGTTTTTTTTGTTCAGGGTTTTGATATCCTGTGGACCTTTTTATTTTTAGACTTCCAGTAGAGAAAATGCGGAAAATAACAGTGTCAAATAAATGACACTAAATCATTAAGAAATGTTATCCGAACTGATTTACACATTTTTCAGCATTATAAATTTGTCATAGACCAAATATTGGCATCGGGCATTAAAATAATCCATATTGTCTGGCCACAAGTAATATGCACTGTCATCACATGTTGGATGCTGATCCGTTGCCATGGTGCAACCTTCAGAGATCTGCAGGTGAGGACCAGTACCTGCACCACCAAGTCTTTCATGTGGTCGAACTCCTCTGGGTGCAGGAAGGCAGTGAACTCCTCCCGGGTGGCGATACCGTCCCCGTCTCGATCAGCCGTCTTGAAGCGTCTTTCGTCCCGCGTCAGCATGAACCTATAGGTGGCCTTGTCCTCCACGTCATCAAACTCCTCATCTGAAAACATGAGTGAGATGTTTTGTCAGGCACTGTGAAGCATTTAAAAATCTCTTCCTAAAACACACTGTTTCTGTGAAGAAGTCTTTATTACAACTATCCTTGAAACTTCATTGCAACTGAGCAAACACCCTCTGCTGTTATATACACTTTACATACGTATATATATACATATATTTTTGACCTTGGGATTGGAGAATGACTGAATAATCTCACATCACACATGTTTCACTTCTAATAGCTGACAAAGAGGCAGTGAAAGTGGAAAGCTTCACAAATCTCAGTAAGGGGAACTTTGACTTGAACGGAACACTATTACGGCCCAGCTTTTAATGTTATGCCAGCCATAGATTATTTGGTCTAATATGTTCTATCCAGTGTGTGTGTGTGTGTGTGTGTGTGTGTGTGTGTGTGTGTGTGTGTGTGTGTGTGTGTGTGTGTGTGAGTGTGTGTGTGTGTACTGCACCCACCCTCAGTGTGATGCAGGGCAAGAGAAGTGGCTCACAGAAGGGAAAGATGGATAAATTGTACATTTGTATATAGAAGGTCATTTTGTTATTTTTCAGCTATGACTAGCGTTGCTCATTACTCTAGATATTCTGTATCAACACAAGTTGTGAAGAGCTGATGCGTGTTCAATGTTTCATAGTTAGCATTAAGAAAGTGGACTAATAGAAGATGCTTGTGTTTCCTTAGATAGTTGTAAATGCAGACAGTTAGACAAGTTACAATGAAATTGTCTTTGAGAATTACCCAGGTAGAAGCCGTAGGTGGTGTTCTTGTACTCCTCCCAGCCTATCTTTCCGTCTTGATTCTTGTCGTAGTCCTTCCAGTGTTTGTTCACGTTCTCCTCGATGTACCTCCTCTGCCGGTGTTTGATCCAGTGGTGCAGCTCAGCGTGGCTGATGTAGCCATCCTTATCGGTGTCAATCCGGACCACAATCATCCTGTGGAGAGAGTTATGGATAATGTTTACTAAAATATTCTGACTCCATGGGAAATAAAACCCACAACTCTGACATTCTCAGCCCCCCTAATTGGTGCATTAGAGAAGAACCCCCTGAAGCCAGAAGCAGCCAGTTAGAAAAATCTGCTGAAGGTTGGGGAACCTACGCCAGCTTGTCTTTGCTCTCCTCAGGCGTCAGCTGGTCGAAGGTCTTGGCCTCCTCCTTTCCCAGGAAGGCCTCGTGATCGTACTGGAAGCCATGAGAATCATCGTGGGCGCGGTCGCTCAGGTCCGACTGGTGATGGACGCGCTTCTCCTGAGTGGGGACGGAGAGGGCCGCGACCGCCAGCAGGCAGATGGAGGCCAGGGACCTCAGCAGCTTCATTCTACTTCTCGTTGGAGAAGACAGAAAAGTCATTTGAAAAACACAGTACACTATTAAAAAAGTTAAAATAGCAATACTTAAAGCATGAAACATTTTGACATAGTAAAAATATTGTGTATTGGAACTTCTGTGTGGTACAGGATGAAAAGTACATTCAGAAGTCCTTCAACTGATTTGTGTTCAACAGAAAGAAAATCCTGAATCGACAGAACCAGGTCAGATCAACTTAGAGATAACTGTCTAAGGATGGTGTCATCGGAGATAAAACATATATACATTCTACAAACATTTACACTTTTTAACGTTCAAATTGATAACAATCCATAATACGACAAAGAAAATAGTACTTCATTGATCAGAATGAGCAGGTAGTGTAATTTCCTCTGGCCCTTCATGAACCCCATCATTAAACACACACTAACAAATGTCCTTACTCTCCATGTTGATGGAAGTTCATCAACTCAGCTCTATGCATTGTATGACAGCAAAAACCATGTTAGCCTGTGTTTTTCAAATGTTCCCTTTTAGAGGAAAGAAACAAATGTTCTCACCAGTTTCTCGAGAGCTTCTCGCAAAATCTCCTTAGCAGTGTGTGAACAGCAGATCAGTCCGCGTTGGCACTCTGCAACTTTAAATAACAACGTCATGAAGGCGGGGCTTGTTGTTCAGATAACCAATGAGTAACGCCTTAAAGGGGGCTCTAACCAATACAAAGTAGGACACGGCAGTGAAATACTTTAGGATAAATTCTTATTGGCTGTTAATCGCCACGTTGTCACACAACAGCAGACCACTTCGGATCAACTTTGCAATAGAGAGGCGAAAAACTGAGAGGAGTAATCTCAGGACAGGAGTAGGCTATCATTGGACATGTCGATGGAAGATGTTAAAAGTGAATTAAAAGGAGACAAAGTAGTGGAAGTCACAAGGCTTAAAAGCAAACGGGATGGCACACTCAAAGAAACATGATCAGTTCTCATTCAGTTTGAGAGAAGCTTACTAAGGCAGTAATAATGGGATATTTTAACTTCATGGTTAGGGAGTACATCCCCAAAGCTCTCAGGTGCTACGCATGTCAACGAATGGGGCACACAGCGCAATAGTGTAAAGGACAGCTAAGGCGTGCGAGATGCGGAGGACAACATGAGTATGGGAAATGTGAAAAGGATGCAAAGGTTAAATGTTGTAACTGCGGAGGAGATCACAGTGCTGCGTTTGGAGGATGTGAAGTGCAGAGAGAGGTGCAGAGAGTTAAGAATACAAACAAAGTTTCATACGCAGAAGCAATAAAGAAAGTAAGGGGAACAATAACAATCAATAAGACCCCTAGTGTAATGGAGCAGAGCATTACAATACAATGGCAGGAACACACCAAAAAGTAATCTTCAATCCAACCCCACAGCGCCACCAAGAGTAAAGAGGATGGTGATGTTCTAGGAGTGAAAAAGGTGAATGTTGTGGTATTCATATGCCATACTGTAAATGTTGCATTACAGTTAAAAAAGAAAAGTGATAGAATCAAAGCCATTGTGGAGGCAGCTGGAAAATTCCTTGACATGAAAGATATTAAAGCAGACCAGATACATGCAATGTTAGCTATAAATGGAGCTGGGGAAAATGAAAATCAGGATGAGGGTTAGATCCTTAATCATGGTTCTGCACATACTACAGTGGAACGCAAGAAGCCTCATAGCTAATGGTCAAGAATTCAAGAAATATATATATGAGCTAGTCCCTGAGGTAATATGTGTGCAAGAAACCTGGTTACGACCTCAATTAGACTTTGTCATTCCAGGATTTAGCTGTATAGGGCATGATAGAGCTAATAGTCAAAATGGTGGAGGGGGTGCCACGTTTCTCAAAGATGGTGTGGCATATAGGGAGGTGCAATCTCCTGATGATATAGAGTGTATTATAGTGGACATTTGCAACCCTAGGAAACAAGATAACATTAGGATAATCAATGTATACAACCCATGTAAAAATCTAACCACTGATATATTTAAAGAAATAGCAGGCAATAAACATAGGAAGGAAGTTTGGTGTGGTGATTTCAATGCACACAACAGTCTATGGGGCAGCAACCATACAGATAGTAACGGAAATGTAGTGGAAGAAATGCTGGAGGAAAGAACACTAGTATGCCTTAATGATGGACATGGCACAAGAGTAGATGTACACAGGGGGAAAGTCTCATGCCTGGATCTGACATTAGTATCAAACTGTTTGGTTCATACATGCGAATGGTTTGTTATGAATAGCTCCACTGTAGGAAGTGACCATTATCCAGTGCTTACTAAAATGAATACTAATGTATATATGCAGGAAGGAGGTGTAATAACCATGTGGTGCTTTGCTAAAGCTGATTGGGGGAAATTTAGGATATGGTGTGAGGAGTCGGTACACCTGCTAACATCAGAGGGAAGCATAGAG